TTGTATTGTAATTCTTCATGGTAATTAAATTTGAATGGTGGACCAGCCTTGTTTTTACGATTGCAATTAATAGAATTTTCATATTAAATTTTGATGGTGGACAAACCTTCTTTTTATACACTTACATTTATTATTCACAAATTGTCACTCCTAATAGGCTAATATGGAAAATGCATATTTCGAATAAATGATTAATAATTAAATTTATCTAAAGCTTCCCGTTGAATGGATTTGGGTGGATTTTTGTGGTCCCTCCATTTCTAAAAAAAATGAAATTTTAAAATAATATTAAAATTAGAGTGATTACTAGTGGGGGTAGACCTGGCAATTCGTGTATACGGGTCCGTTAACGGGTCGACACGATAACGACACGAACACGATAAGGCTAAACACGGACACGACACGTTATGGTTAACGGGTTTAATTTTTTAACACGAACACGAACACGATTTGTTAACGGGTTAAACGGGTTGACACGATAGACACGTTTTGTTAACAGGTTTCAAGTCGTGTTGACATGATAGGGCACAAAACCCGTTTAAACCCGCTATTTCTATTAATATATTTAAGAAAACTAAAATTTAAAGTTAAGTTCTATAAAAAAGAAATAAAACCTACAGTTCAATTCATCAAACAAACTAAAAAGTATTCAATTCATAATATTCATAATATGATAAAATAACATCCAAAAATCATAATTAAAGGAGTCCATACAAGTTTTTAGAATAAAATTGAACACAATCAAAATCAAAATTCAAATTTCAAATTTCAAATTGTTGAACATCAATAATTGGTGTAAGATCTTGACCTAATGTAAAAAATTCATCCTTAGTCATTTACATAATATCTTTTGTAATCTCAATAATGACAATGGTTCTTACATAAATGACAATGATTCTTAGCGGGTTATAAACAGGTTTGGTAAACGGGTTCGTGTTAACGGGTTAACACGATAATATTAACGGGTTAAACGGGTTCTTAATAGGTTTAACGGGTTGACCCGCTAAGACACGAAACATAACGGGTCCTTAACGGGTCAACCCGTTAACGACCCGGGACACGTTAAGGCTAAACACTAACCCGTTATTTTCGTGTCCGGTTTCGTGTCGTGTTAACGGGTCGTGTCCATAATTGCCAGGTCTAAGTGGGGGCGTGCGATGAACGTGCACACTTTTTTTTTTTTTTTTTTTTTTTTTTTGATTTGTTTTTTTATTAGTACGTAAGTTGTTCTTTGTTTCGAAAAAGGAATATCACAAACTTGACATACCACCGACTTCCAAATATTGATTGAATCATCTGCATTCAAATTTTGGGAATTAAATCATTTTCCTGACATGACGATGTGAAAACTTAAAAATAATAACAAAAAAATAGAAAGAAAGAACAAGAGAGGATTCTTTGACACAAGAGTAGTAATACATATACCTATATATATAGGTGTAAATTGTAAGCTAGGGTCCACAAGAAATGCGTACTTTTCACTTAGAATGGATATAATTTAATTTATTTCAAACAAATAAATGGAGTATCAATACAAACCTTAAATTGTATATTCGTTCTTACCATAATATAAAATATCAAACTATTTAGTCCATATATTATTAAAATTTTCAATTTGATTTCTATATTATATAATACTGAGTTAATACCTAATTTAGTTATTGACTATAGTGATTTTTTTTTATTTTTCTTTATAATGTCCTGAATTTTGATAATTTTAATAAACATATTTGTTGTTTTAATTATAGAATATTTTTAAATATATAATCTCAGTGACCGTTGTATTGTAATTCTTCATGGTAATTAAATTTGAATGGTGGACTAGCCTTCTTTTTACGATTGCAATTAATAGAATTTTCATATTAAATTTGGATGGTGGACAGACCTTCTTTTTATACACTTACATTTGTTATTCACAAATTGTCACTCCTAATATGGAAAATGCATATTCCGAATAAATGATTAATAATTAAATTTATCTAAAGCTTCCCGTTGAATGGTTTTGGGTGTATTTTTGTGGCCCCTCCTTTTCTAAAAAAAATGAAATTTTAAAATAATATTATAATTAGAGCGATTACTAGTTCGGGGCGTGCGGTGAACGTGCGCATTTTGTTTGTTTGTTTTTTTTGTTTTGTTTTGATTTGTTTTTGTTTTTTATTAGTACATAAGTTGTTCTTTGTTTTGAAAAAGGATATCACAAACATTACATACCACCGACTTCGAAATATTGATTATATCATCTGCATTCAAATATTGGGAATTAAAACTATTTCCTGATATAACGATGTGAAAATTTAAAAATAATAGCAAAAAAATAAAAAGAAAGAACACGAGAGGATTCTTTGACACAACAAGAGAAGTAATACATATACCTATATATATAGGTGTAAATTGTAAGCTAGGGTCCACAAGAATTGTGTACTTTTCACTTTAGAATTGATATAATTTAATTTATTTCAAACAAATAAATGGAGTATCAATACAAACCTTAAATTGTATATTCGTTACCAGGACTATGTGGTCTAATGATACCCGAGGTGGACTTCCTTTCGGAAGGTTGTAAGTACGAGCCTCAGTGGAGGCGTTATTGTTACTTTGTGTTTTAGTAGGTTGAGAAAGTATATGAACAGATACTACATTGTAGTAGAGCTAGTAGCATTAAAAAAAAAAATAAATTGTATATTCGTTCTTACCATAATATAAAATATCAAACTATTTCGTCCGTATGTTATTAAAATTTTCAATTTGATTTCTTTATTATTTAATACGGAGTTAATACCTAATTTAGTTGTTGACTATAGTGGTTTTTTTTTTTTTTTCTTTATTAGGTCCTGAATTTTGATAATTTTAATAAACATATTTTTTGTTTTAATTATAGAATATTTTTAATTATATAATTTCAATGACAATTGTATTGTAATTCTTCGTTGTAATTAAATTTGAATGGTGGACCAGCCTTCTTTTACGACTGCAATTAATAAAATTTTCATATTAAATTTGAATGGTGGACCAACCTTCTTTTTATACACTTACATTTATTATTCACAAATTGTCACTCCTAATATGGAAAATGCATATTTCAAAAAAATGATTAATAATTAAATTTATCTAAAGCTTCCCGTTGAATGGTTTTGGGTGGATTTTTGTGCCCCCACCTTTTCTAAAAAAATAAATTTTAAAATAATATTAAAATTAGAGCGATTACTAGTTGGGGCTTGCGGTGTACGTGTGCACTTTGTTTGTTTGTTTTTTTTGTTTTTTTTGTTTTGTTTTGTTTTGTTTTTATTTGTTTTTTTTTTAATTAGTACATAAGTTGTTCTTTGTTTCGAAAAAGGATATCGCACACATGACATACCAACGACTTCTAAATATTGATTGAATCATATGCATTCAAATGTTGGGAATTAAAACTATTTCTTGATATGACGATGTGAAAACTTAAAAATAATAGCAAAAAATTAAAAAGAAAGAAAACGAGAGGATTCTTTGACACAAGAGTAGTAATACATATACCTATATATATCGGTGTAAATTGTAAGCTAGGGTCAACAAGAAATGCGTACTTTTCACTTACCATAATATAAAATATCAAACTATTTAGTCCATATATTATTAAAATTTTCAATTTGATTTCTATATTATTTAAAACGGAGTTAATACATAATTTAGTTATTGACAATTGTGTTTTTTTTTTTTTTTGGCTTTATTAGGTCTTGAATTTTTATAATTTTAATAAATATATTTTTTGTTTTAATTATAGAATATTTTTAAATATATAATTTCAATGACAGTTGTATTGTAATTCTTCGTGGTAATTAAATTTGAATGGTGGACCAGCCTTCTTTTTAGGACTGCAATTATTCAAATTTTCATATTAAATTTTAATGGGGGACCAACTTTCTTTTTATACACATACATTTATTATTCAAAAATTGTCACTCATAATATGGTAAATGCATATTTTGAATAAATGATTAATAATTAAATTTATCTAGAGCCAGAAAGCAAGGACTAAATTGGTATTTTCATTCTCTAAGCTTGGTAGTAAATAAACAAGGTTGTATTCAAAATACTTTTTTAATTGATCTAAAAGAGGTATAGTTCAATGAAAAAGACTTAATTCAATTTCTCATCTAAAGATGTTCGTTTTTTAGTCAAGGTCATGTCTCCCAAAAAATTAATATTAAAAAGTGGAGTGGTTATACCAGCGAGTATGTGCATGTGTTACATTTGTGTGTACATTGTTCATAGTACCATTGACAAAATGTGATGACACTCCAAGTCAAGGACAACTATTTATAGTACCATTGACAAGTTTTCGTGAAAATATTGTAGCAATTGCATTTTTGCTAAAAGTATATTGATACCGTCGAAATTGGGAGATTTGCAATCCAAACACACATTGGTGCACTATTAATTGCAGATGAGAGGATTATACCTTGTCTTATATGATGTTGAAAATTATACAAAAGTTGTAAAATGTTGTTTGCTAGAGGGATATCACAAACTTGGCAACTCACAAACTGCGCCTCCAAACCACCTAGGGTTGTGAATATTTCGGCTTAAGCCCAATTTTTTCCGTGTTCGACCTGGAAAAGTACATATCGAATCAGATTCAACCCGGTTCGGGTCCAACCCAAAGAGAACCTTGTTGCAATGTTGTTCTTCGGTTCAGGTATTGGGTTCGAAATTATAGAGTCGAATCTGACCAGAAACCCAAGATATATGGATACTATAAATAATTAAATTAGGGTTACAGAGTCTAGACTATTCTCTTCATCCTCGGCCTCATTTCATTCTCACTTCTTTCCCCCTCTCTTCTTTCTTTGTTTTTCTCTCACAACTTGCCCTCTCTTCTCTACTCTCTCTCTTTCTCTTAGATCTCATCCCTCACACTTTGTGTCTCTCAGACTCTCACCTTCTCCGGTCTCCGCCGCACACTCTCCGCGACTCCGCCTCTCACCCCGACATCTCTGATTCTCACCTCGGTGTCTCCGATTCGATTCCCACCCCGGCGTCTCCGACTCTCATCCCAGCGTCTCTGCCTCTCACCCAAGTATCTATGGCTCTCCGCCCTCTACTCTCTCAGTTTTCGCCTTCGCTTTAGCTACTCAGTCACTCCCGTGTGAGTCCCCTCTCTCTCGCTTGACCTTTGAGTCGCCTCTTACCTCTCAATCCCTCATTCTCTCAACTCTCTATTTAAGAAATCTTGGATCTCCTTTGGGGCTTCAACTGACTTGTTACTTGTGAGTTGTGACCGTAGTCCACCAGTCCGCTCCTCAAAGACCACCGTCAAAGCCTAAATCTAGCAGGTAATGTTTACTTTATTTGTTTGTTTTTCTTTCAGAAAATTAAATCTTTAATAGTTTTTAAATATTTATATATTGGACATTATATTTTTTTTCACATTGAGCTTGGGAAAGACAAGTATAAATAAAATAAGAGTGATGCTGCATTTCTTCATATGCAAGATTTAAATCCATATTAATCATATACAGATTTCGTATTTGGAACCTAACTCATGTCCCATCAACAAAATTTGATGCCACTCTTAGTTGATGACGACTAGTAACAATGCAACTGGCTAGGTAGTAACCTATTAAATACCATTGCAATTGTATTTTATTGCTAAAAGCGAAGTATATTGATGCAATCGTATTGGGAGATTTCAAATTCAAAAGATATTTGTGCATCACTAAGTACATGTGAGAGGACAACATCATTTCTTATATATAATGTTCAAAACGGTATGGAAGTCGTGTGGTGTTTGGAAAAAGAATATCACAAACTCGATAACTCACTGGATTGCAAATATTGATTAGAACAACTACATTTGTATGTTTGAAATTCAAACTACTTCTTGACATGAGGATGTTAGAACTTAAATGTATGAATGGAAAAAAAAAAAAAAAAAGAACATTAGAGGAAGGTTTGATACAAAAAACGATAATGCGAGCTCGTGTATGGGTGTTGTGGGTGTGAAAGAGCAACCCACTGATTGGTTTTGGGTGGATTTTTCCAGCCCACCTTTTCTAAAAAATGAAATTTTAAAATAATATTAAAATTAGAGCGATTACTAGTGGGGGCGTGCGGTGTACGTGTGCACTTTGTTTTTGTTTTTGTTTTTTTTTTCTTTTGATTTTTTTTTATTAGTACATAAGTTGTTCTTTGTTTCGAAAAATGATATCACAAACTTGACATACCACCCACTTCCAAATATTGATTGAATCACCTGCATTCATATGTTGGGAATTAAAACTATTTCCTCACATGACGATGTGAAAATTTAAAAATAATAGCAAAAAAATAATAAGAAAGAACAAGAGAGGATTCTTTGACACAAGAGTAATAATATATATACCTATATATATAGGTGTAAATTGTAAGCTAGGATCCACAAGAAATGCATACTTTTCACTTAGAATAGATATAATTTAATTTATTTCAAACAAATAATAAATGGAGTTTCAATACAAACCTTAAATTGTATATTAGTTCTTACCATAATATAAAATATCAAACTATTTAGTCAATATATTATTAAAATTTTTAATTTGATTTCTATATTATTTAATACTGAGTTAATACCTTATTTAGTTATTGACTATAGTGATTTTTTATTTTTTTTTTGCTTTATTAGGTCCTAAATTTTGATAATTTTAATAAACATAGTTACGGTTTTAGTTATAGAATATTTTTAAATATATAATTTCAATGACAGTTGTATTGTAATTTTTCGTGGTAATTAAATTTGAATGGTGGACCAGCCTTTTTACGACTGTAATTAATAGAATTTCCATATTAAATTGAATTGTGGACCAACCTTCTTTTTATACCTAATATGGAAAATGCATATTTCGAATAAATGATTAATAATTAAATTTATCTAAAGCTTGAAAGCAAGGACTAAATTGGTATTTTCATTCTCTTAGCTTGGTAGTAACAAAACAAGGTTGTATTCAAAAGACTTTTTTAATTGATCCAAAAGAGGTATAGTTCAGTGAAAAAGATTTAATTCTATTTCTTATCTAAAGATGTTCGTTTTTTAGTCTAGGTCAGGTCTCCCAAAAAATTATTATTAAAAAGTAGAGTGGTTATACTAGCGAGTATGTGCATATGTGTTACATTCGTGCGTACATTGTTCATTTTTTTTTTTCTGAGGACACTAAAGGATGTATCCAACAAAGATCTAAATATGTTTCTTTCTAACCCTAAGCTATGTCCCGAAACAAAATGTGATGACACTCCAAGTCAAGGACAACTAGTTATAGTACCATTGATAAGTTTTCGAGAAAATATTGTAGCAATTGCATTTTTACTAAAAGTATATTGATGATGTCGAAATTGGGAGATTTGCAATCCAAACACACAATGGTGCACTATTAATTGCAGATGAGAGGATTATACCTTGTCTTATATGATGTTGAAAATTATACAAAAGTTGTACAATGTTGTTTGCTAGAGGGATATCACAAACTTGGCAAGTCACAAACTGCGCCTCCAAACCACCTAGGGATGTGAATATTTCGGGTCAAGCCCAAATTTTTCCGTGTTAGACCCGGAAAAGTACATATCGGATCGAATTCAACTCGGTTCGGATCCAACCCAAACAAAACCTTATTTTAATGTTGTTCTTCGGTTCGGGCATTAGGTTCGAAATTTTAGAGTCGAATATGTGTGAAAGTGAGTTTCAGTAATTTATTGACTGTAACCACAAGAGTTTAAATACTCATACAAAGCCAAAAAGAAAGGAACAGTTACACCTGAACCTTAAGACTAGGAAAAACAAATAAACACAAACCAGGAAAAAAATAAGAGGCCTAGACTAAATCTTAACACGCCCCCGCAAGATTGAGGCTCCATCAGTGAGCCCAAGCTTGGATCGGAACGCCGCAAACAAACGCAAACTAAGAGGTTTAGTCAGAAGATCAGCCACCTGCTCAGTGGAACAGTGGAACGGACATAACGAATGCGCAGGGAGCCCGAAGTAACCTGTTCACGCACAAAAAAATAGTCAAGTGCCAAGTGCTTCATCCGTGAGTGAAAGACCGGATTTTTGCACACATATGAAGCACTCAGGTTGTCAGTGACTAACAACGGTGTAGATTGCTGGCGAACCCCAAACTCACACAACAAACTCTGAACCCACATAACTTCAGCAGCAGAATTGGCAAGTGCCCGGAACTCGGCCTCCGTGGAAGAACGTGAAACTGAACGCTGTTTTGTAGATTTCCAGGAAATGAGATTCGAGCCAAAAAACATACAATAGGCCGTGGTAGAACGACCCCCATCACGAACACCACCCTAGTCAGAATCTGAGTAAGAAACAAGAGTGAGTGGACAGCCACGCCTGAAATATAGACCAAAGTGTAGAGTACCTTTCAGATAACGCAGAACCCGCTTCACAGCTTGCCAATGACTCTCAGTCGGAGACGCCATAAACTGAGCCAAGCGATTCACTGTGAAGGAAATATCCGGCCTTGTGATTGCCAGGTACTGCAAACGACCAATTGCCCGGCGGTAGGTAGTGGAGTCGAACGACGTGGCATCTGTATGTAAATCAACGGACGAACACATCGGAGTAGACACCGGTTTCGCCCCCGTCATAGTAAACTGCTCCAGAATATCGACCACATACTGGCTTTGTGATAAAAACATGTCAGATGTAGTAGACACCACCTCAACACCTAAAAAATGATGTAAAGGTCCCAAATCCTTCAAAGAGAAGCGGTCTGCTAGCCGCCGGATAAAGGCGGCGACAAATGCTTCATTATTTCCTGTTACAATTATGTCATCGACATATACCAGAAAATACAGAGTGACACCACTGGAGCAATAAACAAACAAGGACGTGTCTGCTACAGATTTCTTAAAACCCATAGAAACTAAAAAATCAGATAATTCAATATACCAAGCCCTCGGGGCCTGTTTTAAACCATAAATCGCTTTCTTTAATCGACAAACATAATCCGGCCGCTGTTCGTCAACAAAACCCGCTGGTTGTTGCATGTAGACTTCTTCATAGAGTGTGCCATTCAAGAAGGCATTATTGACATCCAGCTGTCGTAACGCCCAGCCCTGTGACAAAGCTATACTCAAAATGACACGAACAGTAACTGGCTTAACTACTGGACTAAAGGTCTCAAAGTAGTCACGCCCTGGTTCTTGTAGAAAGCCCTTGGCAACCAGTCGGGCTTTGAACCTGTCCACAGAGCCATCGGCCTTGCGCTTCACCCGGAACACCCACTTGCAGCCAACGACATTGTTATTGGCCCGGGGCACTAACTCCCAGGTGCAGTTCCTCACTAGCGCAGTAAACTCATCCGTCATAGCAGCCCGCCATAAATCATCCTTCAAAGCATGGTTGACAGTGCGCGGTTCCAAGGAAGAAGCAACAGGATGTGAAGTCGTGAGATTGACAAACTTATCTCCATAATACCTGGGATTCGGTCGGCGCGGCCTAGTGGACCTCCGCACCGGGACAACCCCCACCTGTTGATCAATCGAGGACGTTACCGTAGAGTCCATGGAACCAGCAACTGACATTGCTGCCTCAGCAGATGCGAACTCTACCGGCCCCTCTCGTTGCCGATGATCTTCAGCCGGCAGAGAGGCTGCAGCCGGTGAGTCAGGCGTCGAGGACCGTTCAGTGGGCATGGCGGATACAGACGACTCCGAACCAGTGGGCTGCAGCGCTGGGTGAAGCTACAACGCACCACCAGTCGACGCGGCTATCGGAGCCTCCACAGGCGGCGCTGGTTGAGTCGTGGTGGGTGAGGAAGCCGCAGTTGAGACCGACGCTGTAGCCGCTGGTGGGAAAGAGCTGGCACAACGAGTCTCTAGTGGCTGTAGACAAATAGTACCTGCATCGCAAGATATAGGGGAAGGTAGAGGTTCATTCGAACTCAAATACTGGGGCGCAGATGAGAGTCCAGAAGCTACTAAGTCACGATAGGGAAATTCATTAGTAACAAACGTAACATGACGCGAGACATATATTCGACCACTACTGACTTCTAAACATTTATATGCAGATTGACTCAAGGAATATCCCAGGAAGACACATGGTAGGGATTTAGGGCCCAACTTTGCTGGAAAATAAGGCTTTAGCCAGGGATAACACAAACATCCAAACGGCCGTATTTTTCTATAGTTGGGTTGTTTCTGAAATAATTTTGCATATGGTGTGGAATAATTTAGAACGGGAGTAGGCATACGATTTATTAGATAGATCGCTGTTTGGAAGGCATAGGTCCAAAATGAAGAGGGCATGGACGCATAATGTAAAAGCGCCATACCACTCTCGACTATGTGCCTGTGCCGACGTTCAGCCATACCGTTGTGTTCCAGAGTGTGAGGAGGTGTAGTATAATGAGAGATTCCCAAAGTAGTAAATAGAGGTGTCAATTTGACATATTCGCCTCCATTATCAGAATAGACCGAGACAATCTTATAATTAAAGAAATTCTCGACCATACGTTTAAACTGACAAAATGTACTGTAGACATCAGATTTGAGTTTGAGGGGAAACAACCATACATACCTAGTGTAGTGGTCGACAAAATTGACATAGTACTTAAACCCGTCAACCGAAGTCGTTGACGAGCTCCACACATCTGTGTAAACCAATTGTAACGGACGGGTACTAGACATTGAACTAAAGGAAAATGGAATTTTGTGACTTTTATTGATGTGACAAGAGGTACACGCAAACATTTTAAGTTCGTCAAGCTTAAAATATACATTATTGTTTCTAAGCAAACGAGCCAGAATATTTGAACTAGGGTGACCAAACTGATGATGCCAGCGTGACAAAGAGGACTTGGTGGTTATATTCACTTGAAACCGTTGAGCTGGGAAGCTGTAGACATCACTCACGACCGGACCCTGTACGAGAGGAGTTCCCGATTGTCGATCCTTGACAACAAAATGCGTGTCAAAGAATTCAACCGAGACAGAGTTAGTCTTACACAACTTTGAAACTGAAATAAGATTTTGTTGGAGACTAGGAACGCACAATACATTAGACAACAGAAGTGACCGACTAGTTGAAGGAATTGAAACTGACCCAGTATGTGAGATTCGGAGAGACTTACCATCACCCAGCATTATCTCATTAGGCCCGGTGTAGTCCGACAGTGAGTGTAGGGACATGGCATCATTCACTGTGTGATGCGAGGCCCCTGTGTCCATGAGCCACGATTATGCGGGCGGAGTTGTGGTAGAAGTAGTATGAACCGTAGGGGATTGACGCCCGATACCTTGCGGCTCGAGTACAGCCACATTATTTTCTTTTAGAAATTTGGCTAGCTTCTTGCAAAATTTTGTGTCGTGCCCAGGATAATCACAGTAATTGCAGTATCTTGCTGGCCTGTTCCCAAAAGACCGTGACTGGTTGTGGCGGCCCCCTGAACACATGAAGCCACCTCGGCCTCGCCGATTGGTGTTTTGTGCGTCAGTCGAGCCATTAAAACGCCGTTGAGTAGCGTTAGCAGTCGGCATATGAATTTGGGAGGCTGTTTCATTATCTTTCAACAACCTCTCGTAGTCGGTGAGCACGTCATGCAGTTCACCAAATGAAACAGGATCTGTGCGTACCCGCAGAGCTGCCACAATTGGGTTGTATTCATCGCCTAGTTGCGTGAATATATGCACTACGAGGTCTTCTTCGGCGACAGGGCTTTGAGCAAGGGCCAGGTCATCGGCAATGGCTCGAATATCCCTCATATACGACTCAATTGACCGGTTGGCCTTGGGGTTTTTGGCTAGTTTCGCTTTCAACGAAACTACTCGACTTTGAGATGCAACGGCACAATTAGTGGACAGACGAGTCCACGCATCATGCGCAGAGGTGGCAGACGAAATGACCGGTTGCAGCACATCGGAGAGACTACCCAGGATTGCGCTGAGAATAATCTGGTCCTGTCTGAACCAATTGGTGTAGGCCGGATTCAACGCAGTGCGAGCTGCATCGGAATACTTAGCCGGGGCAGCTGTAGAACCGGTAACATAGCCAAGCAGGTCAAGGCCGATAAGCATGGATTCAACCTGCTTCTTCCAAATCGGAAAATTGGCTGAGGTAAGTTTGATTGGGAGGTGGGTGGTGGCATGAACATGAACGATATTTGAGGTAGTGGAAGCAGCCATGGGAAATTAAAGAGAGGGGGGTGAAAAAAAAATTGATTATTTTCTCGTCAGAGTAATGGCTCTGATACCATGTGTGAAAGTGAGTTTCAGTAATTTATTGACTGTAACCACAAGAGTTTAAATACTCATACAAAGCCAAAAAGAAAGGATCAGTTACACCTGAACCTTAAGACTAGGAAAAACAAATAAACACAAACCAGGAAAAAAATAAGAGGCCTAGACTAAATCTTAACAGAATATGATCTGAAACCCGAGATATATGGATACTATACATTATTAATTTAGGGTTACAGAAACTAGACTATTCTCTTCATCCTCCGCCTCATTTCATTCTCGCTTCTTTCCCCCTCTCTTCTTTCTTTGTTTTTCTCTCATGACTTGCCCTCTCTTCTCTACTCTCTCTTCTCTTAGATCTCATCCCTCACTCTTTGTGTCTCTCAGACTCTCACCTTCTCCGGTCTCCGCCGCACGCTCTTCGCAACTCCGCCTCTCACCCCGACATCTCTGATTCTCACCTGGGTATCTCAGATTCGATTCCCACCCCGGCGTCTCCGACTCTCATCCCAGCGTCTCTGGTCTCACCCAAGTATCTATGGCTCTCCGCCCTCTACTCTCTCAAGTTTCGCCTTCGCTTTAGCTACTCAGTCACTCCCGTGTAAGTCCCCTCTCTCTCGCTCTCACCTCTCAATCGCTCATTCTCTCAACTCTCTATTTAGGAAACCATGGATCTCCTTTGGGGCTTCAACTGACTTGTTACTTGTGAGTTGTGACCGTCGTCTACCAGTCCGCTCCTCAAATGCCGCCATCAAAGCCTAAATCTAGCAGGTAATGTTTACTTTATTTGTTTGTTTTTCTTTCGGAAAATTAAATCTTTAATAGTTTTTAAATATATATATATATATGACATTTTTTTTGCATTGAGCTTGGAAAAGACAATAGAGGATGGTTTGACACAAAAAAGGATATATAATGCGCGCTCGTGTGTGGGTGTGAAAGAGCAAAGAGCAACCCGTTGATTGGTTTTGGGTGGATTTTTGAGGTCCCACCTTTTCAAAAAAATGAAATTTTAAAATAATATTAAAATTGGAGCGATTACTAGTGGGGGTGTGCGGCGAACGTGCGCACTTTGCACATATTGTCTTTTTTCATTTGTTTTTTGTTTAGTACATAAGATGTTCTGTGTTTCGAATTGAAAAAGGATATCACTAACTTGACATACCACCGACTTCCAAATATTGATTAAATCATCTGCGTTTATATGTTGTGAATTAAAACTATTTCCTGACATGACGATGTGAAAACTTAAAAGTAATAGCAAAAAAATAAAAAGAAAGAACAAGAGAGGATTCTTTGACACAAGAGTAGTAATACATATGCCTATATATATAGGTGTAAATTTTCAGCTAGGGTCCACAAGAAATACGTACTTTTCACTTAGAATGGATATAATTTAATTTATTTGAAACAAAAAAATGGAGTATCAATACAAACCTTAAATTGTTTATTAGTTCTTTCCATAATGTAAAATATATATCAAACTATTTAGTCCATATATTATTAAAATTTTTAATTTAATTTCTATATTACTCTGTATTTAATACTGAATTAATACATAATTTAGTTATTGACTATAGTGAATTTTTTTTTTTTTGTCCTAAACGATTTTTTTTCGCTTTATTAGGTCCAAAATTTTGATAATTTTAATATTGATTGGAACAACTACATTTGTATGTTTGTAATTCAAACTATTTCTTGACATGAGGATGTTAGAACTTAAAAGTATTAGTGGTGGAAAAAAAAAACATTAGAAAAAGGTTTGACACAAAAAATGATAATACACGCTCGTGTGTGAGTGTGAAAGAGCAACTCGTTGATGGGTTTTGGGTGGATTTTTGTGGCCCCACCATTTCTAAAAAAATGAAATTTTAAAATAATATTAAATTTAGAGCGATTACTAATGGGGCGTGCGGTGTATGTGCGCACTTTGCACATATTCTCTTTTTTTTTTTGTTTTTTTTTTTGATTTGTTTTTTTTATTAGTACATAAGTTGTTCTGTGTTTCGAAAAAGGATATCACAAACTTGACATACCACCGACTTTCAAATATTAATTGAATCATCTGCATTCATATGTTGGGAATTAAAACTATTTCCTAACATGACAATATTAAAACTTAAAAGTAATAGCAATAAATAAAACAGAAAAAACATTAGAGGATTCATATATGTAGGTGTAAATTGTAAGGGGCCACGAAAAACATGTACTTCTCACTTAGAATGGATAGAATTTGATTTATTTCAAACAAATAAATGTATGAATATTAAAAATACATTATTTTGAATAATATACATTTGATACATAAATAATATACTTTTATAATAATAAATATGTACTTTTTTATGGTTCACAAAGGGCTGCTTGGATCATAGTCAATATAAAATTTGCCAATAACATTGGACATTTGATTGGGCCTATGAAGATTCAGCCCATTATCTAGTACCCAATACAACTTCATCAACCAAATGAACACCCTAGACATATTGTAACCAAATAGGCCATACCATTTGAACATCAATCATTATTGCATGGACCATAAATAAAAAGTACATTTTTAATATACTAAAAGTACATTATTTATGTACGTAAGGTACATTTTTTGAAAGTACATTTTTAATATACTAAGAATACATTATTTTATATAATGTACCTTCAGAACAAAAATAATGTACCTTCAGTAAAAAAATAATGTACCCTTAATATATTAAAAATATGCTTAATATTCATGGTCCACACAATAATTTGCCTTTGAACATATAGACATATAACAACCACATCTTCTAGAATACTAGTCACATAAACCAAGTTCATGGTGTTTGCTTTGGTGTTAAATAAAATATAAATTAAATTGAACAAATTTACTGATATATGGGCTAAATAGTTGGATATTTTACATTAATATGAGAATTAATATACAATTTAAGGTTGGTATTGAAAATCGATTTATATATTTGCAGAATCAAATTCTATCAATTGTAAGTGAATCCTAACCACTTACACCTATATATATATATATATATATTATTGTTCTTTATGTCAAACATTCATCTATTGTTCTTTCTTTTCAAGTTTCTGCTATTATTTTTAAGTTTCAACATCCTCATGTCAGGAAATAATTTGAATGCAAATGTCGCAATCAATATTTCGAATCCAATAGTTTGTCGAGTTTGTGATGTCCTTCTTCCAAACTCCGTGCAACTTTCGTACCATTTTGAACATCATACAAGACAAAGTGTAGTTCTCTCACCTGCAATCAATGGTGCACCAATGTTTTTTGGATCACAAAATTTTCAAATTTGACCTCATCAATCTACTTTTAGCGAAAACACAATTGCTACTATATATATCTGCATATGTATTATTGTTCTTTGTGTCAAGCATTCGTCTATTTTTTCTTTCTTTTTAAGTTTCTGCTATTATTTTTAAGTTTTGACATCCTCATGTCAGGAAATAATTTGAATGCAAATGTTGCAATCAATATTTGGAATCCAATAGTTTGTCGAGTTTGTGATGTCCTTCTTCCAAACTCCGTGCAACTTTCGTACCATTTTTAACATCATACAAGACAAGGTGTAGTTCTCTCATCGACAATCAATGGTGCACCAATGTTTTTTGGATCACAAAATTTTCAAATTTGACCTCATCAATCTACTTTTAGCGAAAACACAATTGCTACTATATATATATGCATATGTATTATTGTTCTTTATGTCAAGCGTTCGTCTATTGTTCTTTCTTTTTAAGTTTCTGCTATTATTTTTAAGTTTCAACATCCTCATGTCAGGAAATAATTTGAATGCAAATGTTGCAATCAATATTTGGAATCCGATAGTTTGTCGAGTTTGTGATGTCCTTCTTCCAAACTCCGTGCAACTTTCGTACCATTTTGAACATCATACAAGACAAGGTGTAGTTCTCTCACCTACAATCAATGGTGCACCAATGTTTTTTGGATCAAAAAATTTTCAAATTTGACCTCATCAATCTACTTTTAGCGAAAACACAATTGCTACTATATATATATATATATATATATATATATATATATATATATATATATATATATATATATATATATATATATATATATATGTATTATTGTTCTTTGTGTCAAGCATTCGTCTATTGTTCTTTCTTTTTAAGTTTCTGCTATTATTTTGAAGTTTCAACATCCTCATGTCAGGAAATAATTTGAATGCAAATGTTGCAATCAATATTTGGAATCCAATATATAGTTTGTTGAGTTTGTGATGTTCTTCTTCCAAACTCGGTGCAACTTTCGTACCATTTTGAACATCATACAAGAAAAGGTGTAGTTCTCTCACCTGCAATCAGTGGTGCACCAATGTTTTTTGGATCACAAATTTCTCAAATTTGACCTTATCAATCTACTTTTAGCGAAAACACAATTGCTACAATATATATGCATATGTATTATTGTTTTTTGTATCGAACATTTGTCTATTGTTCTTTCTTTTTAAGTTTCTGCTATTATTTTTAAGTTTCAACATCCTCATGTCAGGAAATAATTTGAATGCAAATGTTGCCATCAATATTTGGAATCCAATAGTTTGTCGAGTTTGTGATGTCCTTCTTCCAAACTCCGTGCAACTTTCGTACCATTTTGAACATCGTACAAGACAAGGTGTAGTTCTCTCACCTGCAATCAGTGGTGCACCAATGTTTTTTGGATCACAAATTTCTCAAATTTGACCTCATCAATCTACTTTTAGCGAAAACACAATTGCTACCATGTTTTCTAGGCAACATCCAAATGATACAATTACAAGTCATCCTCGACTAGGAGTGCCATCAAATTTTATTGGGGGACATGGCTTAAGGTCAGAAAGGAACAACTTTAACTCATCAATGGAATTAAATTCTGATGATTGCATTCTACCTTTTGTGGATCAATTAGAAACTCCATTTGAAGACGCAACCATGTTTTGCTCTTGCCAAGAGAATGGAGATGTCAATTTAGCCCTTGCTTTAAAGTTTTCGATAAATTTAATTATCGTTCATTTACATTATATAGTCTCTATAATAATGTATCTAGATTTGAGATTTAGCCGACTACTAGGCTATTAAGTTTAATTTCATTTAGTCTTTTAATTTAATTTATATTTGAGTTTTGTTTCTCTGTTTGAAAAAAAAAATGCAATACATTCTCTTGAATTCAATAAAGGATTATTGTTTCTTTGATGTCTGAGATTCAAATGGCATACAAGTGATTTTATTAAAGAATAATTAAAAAGGAGGATAATTAAATCGCCTAATGGAAGGTTTATGTGTAAGATATATCGTCATTAAATCAAACGACAATATAGTTTAAAAACATTGAATTCTACTGGATAGTTAGTAAACTAAATATATCTTTACAAGTGATGGTTCAATGGGTAACACGTAACTATCCTACATAGGGATCGTTCGTTGAACAATGTCGTGTCTTTTTATAGTCTAGAAAATTAATTTTTATTCATGTAGGAGATTTGTTATAATAATATTATTATTATAATTATTAAACCAAGCAAGTAATTAATAATTAGTTAATTTGTTGGAAATAATGAAAGTAATGGGTGTGGGTCATGCATTGTATGTGAAGAGTGGCCTAAATTATAGCATTAGTACATGGAGCATTAGCTTCCTGATTAGTAGCTTTCATTTAGTATAAATATGTGGTTTGTATTCAT